TCAGGGTGATAAGACCATACAAGAGTTCTACTCGGTTATGATTGGATTTTGGGATCAGTTAGCACTTGCTGAACCTGCTGAATTGAGTACACATATGGTGTATCGTACTTTTAGGGAGGAGCAGCGGTTGGTACAGTTTTTGATGGCCCTTAGAGATGATTTTGAGGGTCTTCGTGGTTCTATTCTCCATCGTCTCCCACTTGCCACAATTGATGCAGTAGTGAATGAGCTTCTGGCTGAAGAAGTCCGTCTTAAGACTCTTTCAGGAAAAGGTCTTTTTTCATTACCTAATCAGACTGGATTAACTGTACCACCCAGAGGGACTTCTCACTCACAGACTAAATATTGGGGTCGAGCTGTTTCAGATGAGTGTAGTTTTTGTCGTGAGAAAGGCCACTGGAAGGCTCAACGTCCTAAATTGATGAACAAGAATGTCAAGGGAACCTTACACCAGTCATTTAAGCTCAAAGATCGTCATACAGCTGCAGCTGCTTCACTAGTGGATGAGACACTCACATCAGCTCCCAGCATGACTATGATAGCTGATCAGTTGCAGAAGCTCCGTTCTTTTCATCAACCAGATGTCTTATCAGTTTCTCCTTCCACAGGTTCAGTTACTACAGATCCTTCAAGTATATCTTGAACTGTCTGGGTCTTTGACTCAGGAGCCACCCATCATATGACCATCAATTCTTCTTTATTTGTTTTTATTGTTTCCCTTCCCTCTATATTTGTCCTTGTAGCCAATGGCACCCAAATGTCATTGGCTGGTGTTGGAACTATTGTATCTTCTTAGCTTGCACTTCCTGATGTCTACTATATTCTTCAACTTACTTTAAATTTAATATTTGTTAGTCAGTTGTTTTGATTCGGGATTCTTAGTTCACTTTTCTTCTACTGGTTATGTTGTGTAGGATCCACAGTCCAAGAAGCTGATTGAGACAGGCTATAGAAATGGAGGGCTATATGTGTTGGACGAACTTATGTCCCTGAAGTTGTTACATCTACTGTTGATTTATCTTCTTTTCAATTGAGTCCAAAGTTGTCTAGTTTTTATTTATGGCATTCTCGTTTAAATTATGTGTTCTCATTCTCGTTTAAAATTTCTAGTTTCTACTAGTAGTTTGGGTAGTTTAGAGTGCAATGATATTTCAGATTGTAGATGTTGTAAGTTGGCAAAATTTATTGCATTACCTTTAATAAAAGTAATTCTCATTCTTTTGCACCTTTTGATCTTGTACACTCTAATATTTGAGGACCAGCTCCTATTGTTACTAAAGGGGGGGGGTCTAGATATTATGTCTCATTTATTGATGATCATACCAGATATTGTTGGGTGTATCTAATGACACGTAGGTCTGAGTTCTTTTCCATTTTCCTTACCTTTCGTGCTATGGTGCATACTTAATATTTTTCTATCATCAAATGGTTTTGCTGTGATCAAGATAGAGAATATTTTTTTAGTCATTTTCGTGATTTGTTGAAATATAATGGTACTATTTTGCAGTCTTCTTGTACTGACACACTTGCTCAGAATGGTGTGGCTGAATGAAAACATCGTCTCATTATTGAGACAACTCGTTCTCTGTTGTTGTCATCCAGTGTCCCTAGCTCTTTTTGGGGAAAAGCAGTGCTTACAACAGTTCATCTGATTAATTGCATTCCTACAATCCTTAAAATTCTAGTGTCTCACCCTTTGAAAAATTATGTGGTAAGACACCTGACTATTTCTCTTTACGTGTGTTTGGATGTACATGTTTTATTCTGCTACCTAGTGTTCATCGTACCAAACTCTCGGCTTGGTCAGCCTTATGTGTTTTTCTTGGCCACGGTGAGGGACAAAAGGGATTTCGATGTTATGATCCTAGTACACAAAAACTCTATGTTTCTCGTCATGTTTTTATGGAGCATATTCTTTTTTTCTCTATTCCATCTAGTTTTTCATCTCTACATAAATCTAATCTTATTTATCTTGATCCCTTTCCTCCTAATGTTTCTCCTGATTCCTATGTTGATGATATGACTGTGGCTGATCTTCCCTGATCTTCTTCTTCCTCTTTGCCTGATTTATCTACTATCCGTCCCCCGATTATGCATACTTATCTTCGCAGGACTCCCATTGTCTCCTCCACAGATGTTGTATCTTCCTCTGCACTTTTTGGCTCCTAATCAATTTCTGACACCATGGATCACACTCCCCGTTACCCTCAGCGAACTCGGAAGTGTCCTGACAGGTTTGGTTGGTCCAATTTTTGTTATTCTTTTGAATTTTGTTCTTTCCTGACTTCTATACATTCTCTGTCTGAACCAACCTCCTATAAGGAGACTATACTTGATCTTCTTTGGCAACAAGTTATGGATGAGGAGCTTGCTGCGCTGCATAAGACTCGAGCTTGGGAGTTAGTGCCTTTACCTCCTGGTAAACGCTCCATTGGTTGTAAGTGGGTTTATAAAATCAAAACTCAATCTGATGATTCTGTGAAAAGGTACAAGGCTAGATTAGTGACCAAGGGATTTGCTCAAGAGTATGGGCTTGACTATGGTGTGACCTTTGCTCCAGTGGCTAAGATGACCACAATTCGCACAGTAATAGTTATGGCAGCTGTTCGTCCATGGAGCCTATCTCAGATGGATGTGAAAAATACTTTTCTTCATAGTGATTTATCTGAAAAGGTCTATATAACTCATCCTCCTGGGTTGCCTTGTAGTCCTAGTCATGTGTGCAAACTTCACAAAGCTTTATATGGTTTTAAATAGGCCCCGAGGGCATGTTTTGCAAAAAAAATTTAGTTATTTGTGACTTGGACTTCTATGCTAGTGATCATGATTCTGCTATATTTCTCCAATCCACTTCTTCTAGTTTCATTCTTCTGTTATTTTATGTGGATGATATGATTATTACAGGTGATGACATTGCTAGAATTCAGTTGTTGAAAATTCAGTTACAGGATTATTTTGATATGAAAGATTTGGGTCCACTCTGATATTTCTTAGGGATTGAGGTTGCTTCCTCTTTCAAGGGTTATTTTCTTTCTCAGTCAAAATATGCCTTAGATGTTATTCAGTGAGCTTGCTTATCGGATACTCGAACAGTTAACACACCCTTGGAGCTCAATGTTCGTTACACTTTCTCTTATGGTTCTCTCCTGCCAGATCCTACTTTATATCGTACTATTGTTGGAAGTTTGGTGTATCTTACTATTACTCGTCCAGATATTGCTTATGCGATTCATGTGGTTAGTCAGTTTGTTGTTGCTCCTACCACACTTCACTGGTCTGCTGTTCTTTGAATTCTTCGATATCTACGGGGTACATTACATCAGAGTTTATTATTTTCTTCTTTTTCGCCTCTAGAGCTTCGTGTTTACTCTGATGCGGACTGGGCTGGTGACTCTATAGATCGCAAATCCACCACTGGTTTTTGTCTCCTTCTTGGTAATTCTCTTATTTCCTAGAAAAACAAGAAACAAACTATTGTAGCTCGCTCTACTGCTGAAGCTGAGTATCGTGCTATGGCATTTACCACAGCAGAGATAGTTTGGCTGCGTTGGTTGCTTGCTGATCTTGACATTTCCTTGACTACTCCTACTCCTATGTATTGTGATAACACCAGTGCTATCCAGATTGCTCACAACTCAGTGTTTCATGAGCGCACTAAACATATAGAGATTGATTGTCATTTTGTGCGCCATCATCTTCAGTTGGGCACGATATCTCTCCCATATCTTATTTCTACTATGCAGTTTACAGATTTCTTCACCAAATCCCACGCTATCACACGCTTTCGTTTTCTCCTTAACAAATTCTTGATGTTTGATGTTACCACATCATGAGTTTGAGGGGGGATGTTAGAGTATTTATATTATGGGTAGTTTAGGTAGTTTACATTATTTTGGTTGCCCTAATATATAAGGGCCTACATTGTGTATTTGAGTTATGCGTCTGTAATACAGATTGATGACTGTCAATAAACATATTTTTCCTCTTTCATTAATAAACATTAACACAGAATACCACTGGCATGAAAATGTTGCGTCTAAACTGATTTAGATATCCCGACCTCAATACCAAAAAAAAAAAATGTAAGGTAAAACACTGGAGAGTTACTAATGGGTAGTGCCATTAAGCTGGAACAGTGACATGATAATACGAGTTTCAATCCATCATTTTAACTCCCCTTTATACCTGATGATGTGTATAACGCAATTGAGCAGAATGGAGAACGCAAGCAAGGTGCACCGAAGGATTCAATCTGAGCTTCAAGGCTCTTGGGAACAAGAATTTAGGGGAATGGGGTCAATTACACAGAAGAATTATAGTAGTTCACCAATTCAGGAGCACGGTTAATCCATTCTTTAATGAAGTCTCATGCTCATAAGGAATATATTGATAAAAAGGGAAGTTATACAATATTTCAATAAAGCTCCCATTGCTTGTCTCCTAGCGANGATTAATCCATTCTTTAATGAAGTCTCTTGCTCATAAGGAATATATTGATAAAAAGGGAAGTTATACAATATTTCAATAAAGCTCCCATTGCATGTCTCCTAGCAAGGGCTTTGTACAGTATTTATAGTAAATTTTGAGCTTAGTTGAATTTGAGGCATGATCTTCGCCTCCCTTATATAACGTTTTGCTTGATTTGTGCAGTGGTTATGCAGAGTAATGGGGGAGTTGCGAACATGGTGCCTGAACTAGTGCCTATTTCCATTGAGGAGAAGTTTGGTGGTTCCCAGTTGTGTTCCACTCCGCTTCCTCTAAAATGCGGATTAAGGGAGCTCGAGATTTTTATGTTACTGGCTTACCGACCTGATCTGAATAACCAAGCTTAGCCTTGGGGTTTTTTAGGCATCATCAATACCAAAGTAAATATTTACTCATTTAATTTTTTTTGAGGTTGCATATATCCTAACCGCCTTAGTTTTTTGATGCAACATAAAACCCACCAGGAAATGTTGAAAGACTACAAAACACAAAGGTGAGTTGAGTTTATATATTTAAAGGAACATGCTGTAAAGCAAAACAAGTTTACAAGTTCCATGACCAAAATAAAGACACACCACAGCTTTTATAGATTAATTTTGCAAATCCTCACATAATGGAACAAGCATTAGGGTTATCATCACTGAAGAGACTGGTGATTCTCTCCTCAGTTGCATTTGGGGCAGGAACAGCCTGAGCAACATTTCTAACAAACCCAGATGGCGCTCTCTTGTCGTAGGCATGTGAAACATAAGGATAGTAGACAAGATTGTGGGGGATATATGGCCACAATTCAGCTCTCTTTCCAGTGCTCTTGATTCTTTTTAACACCATTTTCGGATCAATATAGCCACTCACTGTCACCCTGCTTTGTTTTCGGCTGACTTCCAAGGTTTTCACACCTAAAATCATTCAGAGAGAGAGAGAGAGAGAGTTAGAACAAAACTAGTTGGTTATGGTTGTAAAACATCAGATTTTAATGAGTTTATGAGTAAGTTAGGGGTGGCTGAAGGTGCTCAGGCTATCCATAAAAATTATGTAAAAGATGACACTGCCAGAAAAGTGTTTCCTCTCCACTAAAAGCAACAACTGCCTAACAAGTCATGATTTAATTCTATGATTCAGATATATATATATTTTTTTTTGGTTAAAACGGTCGGGGTAACGCACCTCGACACCGATGATAGGATATTTTTTAAGGATAAATCTCTCATGATTTGATCTCAAAAAATTGTTAAAATTCGAATTCAAAACATTTAAATTTTCAATTTGTCCCTATTTTTACTTGACCTACCTTGGGGTTATGATTCAGATTTTATACGTCCCCTTTTAACTCGAGGGACACTTTTGATTTCTCTACTTGCTTTAATATCCTATCCTTAGCTTCAAGATTGCTTTTTTGACAGGTCACAGAAGTTTCCTCCCAGAAAGGAAGAAGAAAGAGATAACGAGGGAGAGGGGGGGGGGGGGGGGGGGG